AAACAAACAAACAAACAAACAAACAAACAAACAAACAAACAAACAAACAAACAAACAAACAAACAAACAAACAAACAAACAAACAAACAAACAAACAAACAAACAAACAAACAAACAAACAAACCTCTGTTAATTGTGTCCACAACGTTTATAACAACTGTTGGTAACTTAGAAACATCACCACGAACAAAGCTATGTTTAGGCGAAGTCGCAAGCTGCTTTCCTTGTTTCTTCTTACCCGGCTGTCCACCAATACTCACAACTATTACGGAGACCTTTTGCTGTCTCAAACTCTGACCAACTGATCTAACATCATCACTGGACTTGCCAGTAGTAATGACAATGGCAACTCTTGGTACCAATCCGCGACGGCCAGTTATTTGGAATACGGAAGTATATGCAGTCATAACAGACCGTCCAATGTATCTCCTATTTCCAGCTTTCAGTGCTACCGCATCAATTGCATTGTCCAATGCCTGCATTTCATTGTATTGATCCAAATTGAAATCAACATAACCAGAATCTGATATTTGTACAAAGCCAACACGAGTAGCTTGAGTTGAAACAATGAATGAATGCATGATCTGTTTGGCAAAGCCTTTGAGGAAATTAAATGGTTGAGAACCGACAGTTTTAGAACCATCCACTACGAAGACCATATCAAGAGGAGCTGAAAAAAGCAATTGGATGAACGTTTAGTATCATTGTTTTTTTTTCAAGAATAATTCATAATTCTAAAAAGAATCAGGTCCAGATATCATTGTACGTTGGACATTTGATCCAAAACGTACAAAAGTCCTATAATGTTTATAGTCAAATACGACAATGTGAATAAATTAATGGTTTCGATCTCGTACCATCGTATCGCACTTTCTACCATATTCACAATGTCATTTCAAATTTATGCAAGGCATGAAGGCCACGTACGTTTACATGTCACATGCTGTAGGAATACAGTATTATACATACCAGCAACTTGTTTGCCACCAGTCTTACAACCTTCGCAAGGCGGAAGACCAGGGGCAGTTGGGGTAACACCAGGTTTACCAGGGACACCAGGGACACTTGGCGGTTTAGGCTTTGTGGGTGTAGTTGGAGTTCCACCGGTAGTTGTTTCCGGTTTTGCAGTTTCACCCTTGAGACCACCTGGAAAATGATTAAGTTGATATTTTTAATAGGAAAGATGATAACCAAACTCCTAACAACCTGGCCTATAGTAAAACGTGGATTTAAAGTTGTATTCGCGGCAACTAGGTTTAATATCAGCCAGGTTTTCTCTCTCGCTACTCTGGTTTTTAAATGAATGAATGCAAAGCCAGTTGACCTGCATTTGCGACGAAACGTTTCAATACTCCAGTCCAGTGTCTCCATCTGGGATTTCTTGGTTGTGAATGCAATTCGACAGGACTTTACATCCATTACTAAAGGCCAGAGTAACGAGCCAACACATGACTCGTACACGATGTTTAATAACAATATAATATCAATATATGGCGCGACATGTTGGATTGCCAATTAAGTAAAGGGTATGGGCAACGAAAATTGCTTCGTCTATCTTATTGCTTCGTCTGGAATAACAATAAAAAAATAAGCCGATTGGCCGTTTAATGCTCTATTCTATCTCATCTAGTTCCGAAGTTATACGCAAAAATGTGCAAAATATAAATTGCTGATTCAGCACAACGTGTGACGTCATTAGCTGGGTAAGTATGTTTATTGAATACTACACTGAAGCATAGCTCAGTTATTATGGCCCAAATCAAATTAAATTTTGGATACTGATTGTACATGATGAGACGCATTGAAAAACACTTCTAATTTTGTTGCCAAGGTAACAATGTCGTTCCCAGGCCCCTTGCGCCAATTTTATAAAACAGCTTTATTCAAGGTACTGATAAAAATAAAATAATATCAGAAGTATGTGTACGATACCTATGCATGCCGAAAGTTTACTTGCATGATAATAATTCGAAAATGACATACACATAGAGCAATGCAACTAGTTATTCAAAATCAGTGTAAGGGGCCTGGGAACGACTGTGTTGCCTTGACAACGAAAGTATTTTCCCATGCGTCTCATCATGTACTATCTGTATGCAAAATTTCATTTGATTTGAGCCAATAATAACTCAGCTATGCTTTAGTTTACTATTCAATAAACATACTTACCCAGCTTATGACGTCACACATTGTGCTGAATCAGCTATTTATATTTTGCACATTTTTGCGTATAACTTCGGAACCAGATGAGATAGAATAGAGCAGTAAACGGCCAATCGGCTTATTTTTTCATGCTCTTTCAGACGAAATGCAATAAAATCAATAAAATTTTTTGTTGCCCATACCCTTTAAGTAAACTGACTGTCTGACTATCATTTAAAGTGGACTTTTTACAAAAAGACTGCCACACAAGAAGCGAGGTTTATCTTAATGTTCGATAAAAGCATACTTACCACGGCCAGCTAAGTCCTTGTATATTGCACTTGGATAGTATCGCAGCTTCTTGAGTCTTCCGATGAAGTTCTTAGTGATCGGGAAATCAATTGCAGTATATCCAACTCTTGGTAGACTGTTATCTAAGTCTTCAGCTACACTGAAATCTTTTTCACCTTCCTGATTTTGGTCAACATAAATGTAGAATCTGGAATGTAGATAAAGGGCCTCTTATTTTAAGGATCTTTTACACGTTGATAGAACGACAACGTCACAAAATTTTTATAAGAAGTGTTCGCAATTAATCACTATCATTATAGGTCGTAGGCTGTTGTGCGAAAAAGTTCCTAGAAAAGCACTTTAGTGGCACCCCCTGGGAAATAGATTTCTGTGGTTCAATGCATAGTACCATAGATGCTTAATTACCAAAAAAGTTCCCAAGTAAAAAACTTAAACAAGTAAACCATTTTTGAGCCGGAAGTGGTTATTTTTACGAATACATGCAACTACATACAAATACATGCGAACTTCGCAGGGCTATATTTTCTTCATTTTATAACATTTAGCAACCAATCTTTGCAGTTTTACTCATTCTAAGACGCTCTTTCTAGCTGTGGTGTTAGATTTCGTTCTTCTTGCCTTGATCAAAATTTAGTCTATAACTGGAATCACCCATTGTTGACAATAATTAATCGATAACGTAAAAGACATCTATTACTAACCTGTCTTCACTAGCCACATGTACCACACCAAACTCATGCCAATTGCCATCGTTGACTTTGGTCTTACTCTTTACCTTACCAGAAAGTCCAACCTCGAATACAAGCTTGCCTTTAAGATTAACATAAAGAGTCTTGCTGTTTGGAAGGAATGGTCGTTTCGGAATGGTCTTTGAGATTATGGTTCCTCCTAGTTTTGTTTTTATAAAGCCAGCAATGGAGAAATCGACGTCGCCAAGATTGATTTTCGGTGCTGAGA